TCTCTCTGCCCTACAGTTAATCCCACTTGTGTTTATCAGCCAGGCTGGCACAATAAACTATCTCACAATGGAACATGTATTACTATATATCAATTTGTGAAAGTAAAGCAGCTGTTTAGTGTATGTCAGACATTGTGCTAAGACATTTTAGCCTAACTATCCGAGTTTCCTAACTGCAGTCATGTTAATAAAGGTTTTACTAAAACATTACTAATGTTTTCGAATGATGGTTCAGCTGGCCCATTATAATCTGACCCCTGCATTCATTTTGACTCCATCTCCCACTCTTTTCTCCTCTACTCTGGCCACACTGGCCTGCTGGTTGTTGGTCAAATATGCCATCCTGTCTGGTGCAGGGCTTTTACACCTGCTGTTCCCTCCGGCAGAAGTGATCTTCCCTGGGTTTCCCATACTGTGGTAGCTCCTGATTCTGGAAGCTATACCCTGTTATTTCAAATACCAGGAGGCTCAGCTGGGGTGGATAGTTTAGAGGTGCTTGCAGACAAAGACAGATTGTGAAGAAGGGCCTGGCAATCTACTTCTGAAAAAAAATTGATCCATGAAACCCGCAGGGTAGCAGCAGAACGCTGTCTGATCGAGTGCTGGAAGATGCGCTCTTCAGGGTGAAAGGCTCTCAAAATACAGCTGGAGAAAGGCTTCCTCCTCAAAGCAGGTCAACGTTAAGGATGTGATGGAACCAAACTGTTTAGGGCCTTCATTTACCAATATGGCACGACTCAAAATCAGAACAGGAAATCTACAAACATGAGCCAAGGAAAAATCATCGAAAATTAAATGGAAGGCTTCATGATAACCATCCTAAACAGTAATGGACTGATAGTGACCGTTTTAAGGCAGACAACAATATGTGTGATACTGTGCCAAGAATGGCAATGGGAACAAAAATGGTGTCACATTCATTGTCTAAAGCAACATTTCAAGGCCTAAACTGAAATTCAAGTTTGCCAGTGAGTGGATAATGTCTATATGCCTAAAGGAAGACCAGTTATTATAGTAATTATTCAAATTTACTCAATTAACAATTCCACAAATGAAGTTATTGAAAATATTTATCAACTTCTGTACTCTTAAGTTGATCAAACATACAATCAAGGTGCTTCAATAATTACTGGTGATTAAAATGCAAAAGTTAGAAACAAAGAGGCAGAACCAGAAGTTGGAAAGTGTGCACTTAGTGATAGAATTAGAATTAGCACCAGGGATCGCATAGTCGAACTTTTCAAGACCAAGAACTTATCATGGTATGTACCTTTTTTCAACAACATTAACAGCAACTGTACACAAGGACCTTATTGGATGGACTATACAGAAATCAAATAGGCTACATCGATGGAAACAAATGATGGAGAAACAATATCATCCATCAGTCAGCAATGCCTGGTAGCTGACTGAGAAACAGACCACCAACTGTTCACATGCACGCTCAAGTTGAAAATGAAGAAAATAAAAACAAGTCGGTGAGAACCAATGCAAAACCTTGTATCTCAGCTAAAGTTAGAGACCATCTGAAGAACAGATTTGATGCATTGAACACTCATAACCATAAGCCCAGAGGAGTTGTAGAATGATGTCATACATGGAGAAAACAAGACCACTAAAAGCAGAGGAAAGGAAGAGAAGACTTAAAGGGATGTCAGCAGAGACTCTGAAACGTGACTGTAGACATATCTAAAACTAAAGGGTTTTTTTTTTACATTTAAAAAGAAAGATTAAATAGGGAGGGGGGAGCGGGAACCAGGGGAGGGGGGGAATGAGGTGCTGATACCAAGGGCTCAAGTAGAAAGAAAATGTTTTGAGAATGATGATGGCAACAAATGTACAAATGTGCTTGACACAATGGATGGACGGATGGATGGATTGTGATAAGAGTTGTACAAGCCCCCAATAAAATGATTTTTTTTAAAAACTAAATTGAAAAGCAAAGTATTACAATGAACTTTTCAAAGACCTAGAGTTAGAAAACCAAAAGGGATGAACACACTCAAGATGAAAGAACTGAAGAAAACATTCAAGTCTAGTGTTGCAATATTGAAGGCATCATGGGCAAAATATTGAATGATGCAGGAAGAATCTAAAGAAGATGGGCAGAATGCACAGAATGGTCAACATTCAATCATCTGAAAAAATAACATGATGAAGAGTCAATGATAGAGTAGCAAAACTCCCTACCTACACTGAAGGCTTTAGGGAGGAATGTGGTTCCAGGAACTCATGGGATATCAGTTGAGATGTTTCAACAAACAGATGCGAACTGGAAGCTCTCACTTATCCATACCAAGAAATTTGAGAGAGACCGCTACCTACCCAACTGACTGGAAGATATCCGTATTTGCAACCATTCCAAAGAAACATGATCCAGCAGACGGACGGAAATATTGAACAATATCACTAGTATTACGTTGCAATTGAAATTATGCAGAAGATAATCTTTAAGTGGCTGCTACATAACATGGACCGAATACTGCCTGAAATTGAAGTCAAATTCAGAGGAGGACCTCCAATGAAGGACATCTTTGCTGATGTCAGATAGGTAACGACTGAAGGCAGAGTATACCCAGAAAGATGTTTACCTGTATTTTTTATTGACTTTGCAAAGGCATTTGATTGAATTATAACAGATTGTGTGTGGCATTCAAAAGTATGGGAATTCAAGAACCCTTCATTGTGGAATCTGTACACGGAGCAAGGTGCACTCATTGAAAGAAGAACATGCTTTTGCATAGTTTAAAATCAGTAAATGTGTCAGAATGGCGTCCTTTTACCATACTTAATCAAGCTGTTTGCTGAGGAGATAATCCAAGAAAATGGAGTATGTAAAGAAGATGTGGCATCAGGATTAGAGGAAGACTCGTTAACAACCGGTGATGTGCAGAGTGACACAGTCTTGTTCAAAGTGAAGACAATTTGAAGCACGAGTGATGAAGATCAAAGCTTGCATCCTTCAGTGTGATTACACCTCCCCATACAGAAAACAAAAAGGTTCACTGTTGGACTAATAAACAACAGGACACTAAACTGAAACAATACTGACTTCGTAAAGGATTTTATTCCACTTGAATCCAGTGCACACCCATGGAAGCAGCAGTCAAGAATTCCAAGGATGTGTTGCATTAGACAGATGTGTTTCAAAAGACATCCTAAAAGTGTTCAAACATAAAGATATCACTTTCAGGATGACGGTGCACCTGACTCGAGCCATGGTGTTTTCACTTGCCTCACATGCATGTAAAAGCTGCAGAACAACTGAAGAATGGATGCATTGGAATTATTAACGTGGAAATGAATACCGAATGTGCCACAGGTGGCAGAACAAACCAGTCTGCGCTAGTAGCACTCCATAGCACTGCTCAGAAACGAGGATGGTGAGATTTTGTCTCACTTACTTTAGACGTTATCAGGATGGACCAGCTCCTGGAGAAAGACATCATTTGTGACAAAGTAGAGTCTGTGAAAAAGAGGAAGAATCCACGTAACGTGAACATGAACCTGAGAGGTGGCGTGTACAATCAGCTCTCATCTCCAGGTGAGTGCCGGCTCCGGCGTACCACTGAAACCTTGGGTTTGCTCTAAAGGTATTTGCAGCTTGTTGTTTATATCTTAATTGTGCTTATCATGTTTTTGCAGGGCTTTCATAAAGCCTTACTTTGTGATTTCTCTCATTACTTTGAAGATTAGCAACTGCATTCAGAGATGAAAATATTTCTATTATATTTTATTTTAAGGCCTAATTTTTAACTTATGGTTTATTATATATTTTCTAAGGTTCATTCTGATGTATGTAGGGCATAAGGTAAGGAGCTAAATTCATTCTTTTATGAATAAATAATCAGAAATCCCAATATGATTTGTGAAATTCTTTCCCTATTGATCTATGAGTTTCATGTATAGCACATTTCTTACTGACATTTACCAAGACCCTCATTCCATTTTGCTATGTTATTTGGCTATATATCATTTGACTATATAGCAACACCACATTAATTTACTTTACTTTTATTTTATAACATGTTGTGATATTTAGTAGGAAAAATTGTCTTTTACCATTATTTTTTAAGAAAACAAAAACTAATTAGATTTTTGACACCTGTTTCCTTCAGTTAAGGCTTTTTTTTCCTTTTTTGATTTTAGTTTGTCTCAATCTGCCAGTTTAAATTGGAAAAAATTGTTAATATAATTGAATTCTTTGAAATTGTTTTAATTCACTTGCTACAGGAACTCCTGTATTCCTGGTACAGCTCATAAACATAGTTCAAACATACTTGAGGTCTTCGCCAAATAAAATAACAAAACTTGCATGTGTTTTCCAAAGTGCTATACTCTTACTTATTTCAGAGTAAAATCAAATCTCATATATATTCCTATTTTCTTAAGTCAAATTCAATATTTTTAAATGTTAAATAAGACTTAATGGTTTTATTTCCAGAACCCAGATATAATAGAGACCACATTACAGATACCCAAGGATAAAATCTGAATACACCCACAACTAAACCTCAAATGCCTTTGAAGAAATGTAGTATAATAC